CTCCGGCTTTGTGCTTTAGATAAGCCATTAGCTTAGGTCGACGCGGATCGAATTTTTCATAATTTTAAATACGGCGCAAAAAGTTTTCGACCCAAAGGTATTACAGTTTAATATGCTTTGAATTATTTATAAAGGCAGCCAGCTCCCAAGCTAAGGCATAGAAGATGGAGAGTCGCTCATTTATCAGTCGAAAGAAGTTGCAGCGCGGTGAGAGAGAGAGAAAGAAAGAGAGAGAGTATGAGGGTCATACGGGCACGCGTATGACTCGAACTATATACGAGAAATTCTTCAACGAATAGCAGCAGCAGCTTTTCATAATGACGCGGAGCTTTAATTAAAAAGTCGCGGACAAAGCAGTCAGTGTCTCGCTCATCTCGCTCTTTTGTATAGGAACCAAGTTACTTTTTGTCCCCTATCTATGTGTTGTACGTGTGCGAGCGCGTGCGTGTGTCTGTGTGTGTGTGTGTATATAGGAGCGAGGACGAAGAAAAAAAATTGAACGAGAGATGGAGCGAGCTAGAGCGAACCGGACGTTTGTCGGGCTCGAAAGAGAAATGAGCTAGGGATAAAAGAAAGAGGAAACACTGCAGCAAGGTTGAGAGAAAGTAAAAAATAAAATAAAAAAACGAAGCATCGCGCGAGGCGAGGGTTCGAGAAAATAAGAGATAGCTCGCGTCGACGCTCGTGTTCTTTACAGTCTCTTGAGCGAGTGCAAAACTGCGTGCGAGAGTACATCTATTCCGTCGCTCTTGTATTATGTACCTGATTTTCTCGCGTACACCAGACGCAAAAAGAGAGACCACGAGTGCAGCTAAGTGTAAGAAAAACAATCGATGCTCGGCGCTACGTCAGCCGAGGCAGAAAACAACTACGAGCTTTTTTTTCGACAAAAGCCACGCTAGCGCACTCCGTAAAAAATTATATTTTTCAAGCGTACGCACGTACGTACATGTGTGTGTGTGTGTACGAGTTTGAGTTGCGACGAACAAAAAATATCCGAGCGATTCGGAAATTATATGTGAGGGGCAACTGTTGTGGCATATAGCGAGAATCGAGTCGAGAAAAAATCTGAAAAGGGGCCGAGGGGGTAGGGAAAAAAGGTCGTGGCTGCCTCGACGCGCCGTGTGTATACGGTACAGCCTCGGTGTATATAGCGACTCGGGCCACTCAAAAAGCAAGCAGCGGTTTCCGTGGATCATCAATCATCGTCATCGTACCTCCCTCGCGCGCGATGTGTTTTCTGCCCTGCCTTTTCGCTTGATGCCTCTGTATACATACAGATATATATTTGTGCTCTATACAGTCGCGCCGGTCTAAGCTGTATATACGTGTACATTTGCCCCTCCTTTAGCTCGACGTTCCTACGTATATGTCATCATCATCCCCTTTTGTGCGCGGACGCCATTCTTGCCTTATTTTTTTTTCTTCTCTCAGATTTCTCGTATAATAGTTAAAACTCTAATGCCAGCGCCTGGGAGTAAATATTGGAAAGATTAATGTAAAAGAGAGTGGTGGAATGTCAAAGGCAATCCTGAATGAATGTTATTCCATTTGCAATGTACTGCCGTTTAAAAAACAATTAAAATGAAATATGACTAAATAATGATCATTGATTCATCACGTACAAGTTGTAACATGACAAGTTCATTATGTTTATTGTCCGACAATTGGTGCTTGTTGATGTGCTAAATTTATGAATCAACGAGAAGTAAAATTAATGATTGTTAATATAATAACGAGAATAAGAATGAAGTAAAGAGTAGACTTCTTATCATGCGAATATAAGCTTCCGTACAATTACATTGGAGATAGGATCATGTTGCAGTTGTTTTGCAATTTCCGTACTTTGAAAAACTAACAAAGTTAATCATCGTTGAGAAAATACACGCTCCGACTGCACCTTTTAACTATCCTCGAGAATATTACCTCGAGCGAATTTCTGTGTAAAACATCCTTTTATAATTTCATCCGAATCGTTAGCCGAAATCGCGCGTACTTTCCCAATGTTCGCGAAACCTTACCACCTCGAACTTCATCGTAATATAATCACAGTCACGGTTAAACGTAGTCTTTACGGAAAAAAGTCGAGAAAAAAATCGATCGCTGCGAACGCGTATTAAATATTAACGGTAGCCCAAGCTCAACATTTTACATCGCTCTTTCTCAAAAGCTCACATTTGCGATCGCCTCGAGTTATCGTGTTTATAAGAATTGCCGCGGTGATGGTCGATACGTCCATAAATCTTGCGCCGATGTATCCACACACTCGTACATGTACGGGGCGCGCTCATCGCAATTACATCAGCGCATATTAAAAGCACCGTTGTTGCTGCACGGCTCCCAATACGGCGTAGAACGACGACGATGATGATCGTAATGACTGAGACTTTTTTCGCGCTCGCTTATTAGCCGTGCAGTTTTCGTGTATATAGCTGTACGCGCGGCAACACAAATATCTCGATCTACAGAAAATTCGAAACCGTGTAAATGAGATATTTATGCGTGGATTATTCGGGAATTTGCAAAATTTAAAGAAAAAAAGAAGTTTGAAAAGAGCAATTAATCGTTTGAATAACGATGCATGATTATCGATTGGAATTTCTTTACTTTACAAAATGAACGTTACGGTTTTTCTTTGATTTTTATTTTCATAAATTTGCCAGGATGGAGTCAAAGAACAAAAATGTTTCACCGCTTCGAATAAACGCACTTAAAATTTGAAGTTGCGACTGCTACGTAATGATGGAATCGCGTGTCACGCTCTTCTTCGAAAAAGCTTACACAAAGATGTATGTTTATAGTAAGTGTTACTAGTGAAGCTAAAAATTATTTTCGGATTACGTACATAGGATTTTTTTTGAAAAAGAGACATTTATTAAACAAAAATTAACTTTTTGATTTTTAAGTAAATAAAACTTTACGTACAGATCATGCAACCTTCGTCAGAGCAGCGGGCGTACGCGGCATGAATTTCTTAGAAAGAATATGAATACTCGCTTATTAAAAAAGATGCTCGTTCGACCGCTCATGAATTGCTGGATACAACCCATGGACTACCATGTTGCATCGCGTATTTATTTGCTCGAAATAATTACTCGTTCCCTCCACCCTATATTTAAAGTTATGTAATTCGCAATACCGAGAAAATCGACTTTTACGTAATATATAATTCAAGATAATCTTGAACGAGGGATGAACTCCTATATGTACGGATATTAATAAAATCTGTCAAAATGGCCGTGAGTAGGCTGTATCGAGTTACGTGGATACAACCTGTGCAGTTTACAGAGAGAAAAACTTGAGGGTGCTGACATCTGTGAGAGGAGTCGAGAACCTTCTTGTCTCGAGCTCGTGTGCGTTGAGGGATGTTCCCGAATATAGCGAGTGAGCATCGACAAAAAGACCCGCAGCTCAATTAAGTGAAGCGAAAGAGAAGGTAAAGGTAGATACGGCGATGAAACCCGATTCTTCGACCAGTGGTTCTGTATCGACGATCGGCTATGAGATCGACGTGATATTGAAAGAAAGAACAATCGAGTGAAGCGCGTTTTTTAATGCAACTCGAAAGATAAAATTACAGAACTTTTTATATAAGATAAAAATTCTTCGAATTCATTATTAATTAAATTAAAATAAAAAGACAATAAGTTGTTGATCTTGATAAATAATACATCTAGACCGCACTAATAAATAAGAGTTATGATCTGGTGAGAAGCTGAGCTTCACAAAGTTAATCCCTAGATTTCAAACGATGTTTCGATACTCAACTAATACCTGAAGGTAACGTAGAAGCTCTATATACGGAATTTAATATAACAGCGAGCTACACGCGTGTGTTAGGCTTGTTGGCTTTATTGAAAGGACGCCAGTCCTGGTGTGTAAACAGAATTCGATTACAGCTCCCTACGTATTATGTGAATTTATACCACTACAGAGACTAGCACATTATCGTTATGAAGCTGCTCATAAATTTTGCAACACTGCACGTATCAAGTGTCTACGTATACAGTATACAAAACATCATTCCTTCGCATGGGCACCTCAAAGATGTATTACTTAATTATGATTTAAACTGCGTAGAGAAAAAATTCCCTTTTAACTTTATATATTTTAATTTTAAATATTTAAATGTTTTTTCCTCACTATGAACTCATATGTTATCAACTTAAGATAGACAAGAGAAAATTTGAATTTAAATTCAAAATGATTTTAAATTGTATTAAAAGAATTATCAAAATTTCAACTTTTTTTTTTAAGAATGAACAAAATACAATGCAAAATACTTGAAAATGAATCAAAGCTTAAATAGTTTCATTAAACCGTAACAATTCCCTATATTAATAGAATTAAGTCTTGACCGCTAGATGGCGAGCATCCTTATATCTATAAATCTGCAAGTGACAAAGTAAAAATAATCGCATAAATCAAAGCACGGTTTCAATACTAAATGAAAGCTACATAACTACTATTTTCAATACTAAGCAAAAGCTATAGGTTATTAAATGTCCATAAAATGTTGAAAAAGCGTTACACCTTTAGTTAATATTTTTTCCATCTCTAAAGACCAATTTTGTCAGAGAAATTTTTTTGGTGTAAACTATTCATAAAATGTTAGTATAGACATTTCTCGAGTTTACATTTTTACTCCAGCTTAAAATACAAAAAATCCTCTGTATAATCCACAAAAAAGTTTATCGTCTTTTTGTCAGTTAAAGAACTTGAAGAACAGACAAATTTACAACGTGTGCAAAATGTTATGTGCGTAGTACTAACCGAGAAGGCCTGGTATCAAAGTTCAAAGCAATAAAAAACACACCAAAACTGCGCGCGACTGCGCCTGCGTCCGATTTCAAAATTCAATTTGCTCGCGAACCGCAAAGAAAACGTGTAACACGCTGCAAACTATAACTTGTATCGTAAGCACTCTATTCGAAGTGCCGTTAATGCAAAAGATAAATCGCGTAAGAAATGTTCGATAGGCGCGGGACAAATGTACTCACCGAACTGACTCCTCATCCAGGGATAGAGCGGACTAGGCAGATTTCCGGAATTGGCGCCCTGCGGCGTACCCGGCTGCTGCTGGCCCAGCGGCGACGCCACGACGCCCTGGTGCTGTTGCTGCTGCTGCTGGGTGTGAAGCGCCGTCTGCTGCGGCTGCGCGGCCTGCGTCTGCTGCTGTTGCTGCTGATACATCATGTGCTGCTGCGTCTGTTGCTGCTGCATCGCCGCCGCGTGCTGCTGCTGGAGCTGTGGCTGTGGCTGGGGTTGCTGCTGCTGCTGCTGCTGCGGGTGCGTCTGTTGGGCCTGCATGTGCGGATGCTGCGGGTGCATCTGATGGTGCATCTGGGCGTCCACGAGCGGCGGACTGTCCGAACCATCCAGCACGCTGCCCTGGTGGTCAACCGCCGCGGCCTGCAGCTTGCACGAGGCGTAGACGATGGGGGTCGTCGCCGGGTGGCCGTTCACCGGCGTCGGCGTGTGTCCCATGTGTCCGACCATGCCCGCCGTCGGCGAGCTGGCCCTGTAGCCGGCCATGTCCATGCCGTGCTCCTGCTGCTGCTGGTAGTAGGCCGCCGTGCGTATGTCCATCCGGTCGTAGGGCGGAAACCGGGGATAGGGCATGCCGGGCTGCTGTCCCGTGGCGGCCTGTCCGTAGCCGCCGTGGTGGCCCGGCACGCCGCCCTGGCGCAGCAGGCTCGGGTCGCACGGGTCCGAGGCCTGCTGGGGCTGCTGCTGCTGCACCCCGGGCTGCTGCACGGCCTGGGGCTGTGGTACCTGCACCGCCGCCCCGTAATGCTGGTGCTGCTGGTGCGGATGCTCGACCCCGCCGCCGCCATTGCGCAGATCCGGGATGTAGGAATTGGCGAAGTACGAACTCATGCTATGCTGCTGCTGTTGCTGCTGCTGTTGCTGTTGCTGCTGCTGGTGATGGTGGTGCGGGTGGTGCTGCTGCTGGTGCGGTGCCTGCTGCTGCCCCCAGTCGCTCGCGCACTCTTCGTCCAGCAGCTTGCGGCCGTTCGGGGTACACTCGCTCAGCAAGGAAATCTGCGTCGCCGCCGTGGTTGCGGTGATGCTGTTGACCTTTTCCCAAAGCAGCTCCTCGCCCTCCAGCAACGGTTTTTTCGCGTACTCGCACACGCCGGCGTCCTTGTTTCCTCGGCCTTGGGGCGAGGAATGCGATTTTTCAACACTGACACTTCCACACAGCCACCTGCGAGCGAGCTATCCTAGCTCCTGCTTCTCTCCAGCTACCGATAACTTTCTGCCTTTTTTCTACTACACACTAACGCACTTTTCTAGATTCTACACTTATTTTTCAAGAACTTTTTATAACTTGTGTTAATCACCACTCGCGCAAATTTCGTGGACACAACACCATTTACATTTATCGCATTAACTATCATTAATTTTTTTGTTATTACTATAATTATTTATACCTCTTTTTTAGCATCTACATATATATTTATAATTCTTATTTTCATATATTCATATACTTATCACACTTTATTTTGCCGTGCCGAATCACCTAGCAATGATCATTAAATTTCTTCTTCTTCTTTTTTTTTTTTATAAATATCACACTGGGCTTTTTTTATACCACACACTGATTACTCTTCATACGCAATGCGTCGTGTTAAACTAGAAAAATTGAAAAACTAATCGAGACGAAATTACGTATTAACTTGCTTGTAAAAACTTCACTCGAAGAAATCTTAAGCACACTAGATGACATCGACTATCGTTGAGAGAATTTTTCTACAATGTACAATGCTTGAAAGTGTGCGTAATTTGTAGGTAGTATTTTTCTATGCTAAACGCGCGTGTATGTGTTTCTTGTGCGTCGTCAGGTCGGAGGCCTTAATCAAAGTTGTGGTCTGATTTTGAATTTCAGTCGTAGATTCGATTTGGCGCAATTAGTCCGTCGATCAGTTACCACCACTGCTATTGTTGAGACACAAATTTTTTGCTTTTTCCGACGTGCCTCTGTCCAATTTGCTGACGACGCTACGCTGCACCTGCAACAACCCAACAAAAAAATACAACGTTAATGTCTGTAAATACTTTTAATTACACGTGTGTTTAGAAATTTTATGATTGTAACTACTAAGTAAGTGAGACACTATGAATTAAATAGGCAGATGAAATTCCGTCATGTAAGTACTTTAGGTGTAAAAAATTTTTACATGATCTATTAGCAGAGGTCCGACGACGAGAGCTCAGCTAATTGGACGCTCAAAGTACGTCGCGTCTCAGTAGCCGATCTCCGTCGCCGATACACAGTCTGCGCGTGCAGCAGAGGCGAGCGCTCAGTTAGCTTTTCGGCGCGATGGTACGGCGATTCTTGAGGTAGACGAGCGACTGCTGGTCGATGACGACTCCGCAGTAGTTGCAAAGTCCACGTTAAGTTCAACATTTGAAAAAGAGCCGACAACATTCAATTCTAGTCACAGTTGCTTATGTGTACGCATGGACAGATTTGAACGATCGTTTCGAAGGAAAAAAAGAGGTTTCGGTCTTCAACGCGGGAAGGATGGCACATGGTCGCGCCGGTTTATGTGTGGTATATACTTTTTGAATGGCCTCAGTCACGACATCAGTTGACATATACAACAGTCTCTTTTTGCCAAGCTAAAAGTGGCTCCGCACGCATCATTTAAATCGCGCACAACAGATAGTATTGTGGGAATCATATTTTTTCTTAGAATGAAGAATTCGTATGATTTTTCTTATAAAATGTTTACTTTTTTTGAAAATTTACAAGTATATTATAAATATTGAGCATATTTTAAATTATCTAAAATAATAATTGAATAGTTTCCAAAGACCACTTTAAAGACAATAATATTACTTTAAGCCTTCACCGCTAGATGGAGAGTATCTTTATCTGTAAAACTGCAAGTGAGATGGTTAAACTAATCGTATTATTACTTCGTATCGTACGATTATTACTTCGCATATCTTACATTCGAAGTGATTTGACAAACATTTAATTAAGCGTCTAATTTAATGCCTACTTTTACTCGAAAAAGCGAAAAAGAGCTTATTACTCTAATATCAAAGCTCCTAAATACTAGTACTGTTACTATAAAAATAGACGTAGACGCAGCAATAATGGACGAACACAGATTTCAGCTGCTAATAGTAAAAAAAAATTATTATGGGTATCAAGTATAATTTAATCTCTCAAAGTATATGCAGTGCACTTGAAGAACAAATTACGCTTGAATAGTAAGATACACGAATTTATTATATAGTCGGAAAATAGTCATTGCTTAGCAAGAAAAAAATGGATGTAAATTGATGGAAAAAATGTTTGCTTGAATATGTCCAGTTCTAATGGTTCTCATATATACAAAAAAACTTTTCAAGCCATAAAATTTTGGGTGTTTTTGGCAGAGTGTATCGTCATATAAGATATAAAAAAATAATAATGATAGATTAAATCAACTATATATCGACATCTATCGATAAATTCAAAGAACGACTACATCGCAGTGAATAAAATTTTGCAAACGATCGATAATAAAATTGAATTACATTCTTCTCTACCGACTGCAGGGCCTTCGACTCAGCCCATACACTTGCGCTGGGCTGATTATCAAGATCCTGTTGCGTTAATAATATACAAGTAGTCTACTACCTGCAGGACTTTCTTAAGGTACTGTAGACAGCTGCTAAAAAAGGTTCATAATACCTCGGTTCGCCTTCGATCAAAATTTTAAAATAGTATCAAATACAGAAAATGAAACCCAGACACGATTTTACTATCGAGGTAAGTCGAGCGATTTTTAATCATTGAATTCTTATGCAAAGAGAAAAAAAAGGTGACATACAATTCATAAAATATCGATCAAATAAGCCAAAAATAATCTAGGACACAGACGTGTGCACGCGCCGCTCGACGATGTACAGTCAGGCGTGTATAAATAAGAACCCGATGAATTGAAAAAGACGATAAGCTCGGTGCGAAAATTGAAAAGCCTGGCCTTGCTCGCACGCACAAATACGATCTGGGAGTCTATGCGTATACGCAGCGTCATGGCATTGTCGCTCGTGTGTAATAGAAAAAGGAAGAGAGAGAGAGAGAGAAAGATAAGCGCGTTTGGAACGGCAGCGAGAACTAGCGGATATATACGCAGAGAAAGAGAGGAGAGAAAATGTTGGTGTGCCTGCGTACACGCGAGTGTATATGCAGACATAGACATTTCGGGGAAGCAGCAGCAGCAGCAGCCAAAGGGACTCAAGGGAGTTAGGTACAAAAGGGGGTAGCACTAGGTTCAGTGCGGCGTTCGCTCGTTCGCTCGGACAATCGTGATTAACATTCCACGCGAGCAACAGCAGCAGCGGCAGCAGCGTCGGCGGCACGGCTACTTCGGCGGCCTGTTCGCGAGCTGTTGCCGGGCTATATGCTCTATAGCTATACAGATATAAGTCGGCACTCCGCGTGCTTTCATTAATTTCAGCGTATTGATTTGCAAGCGCCAGAGTGTGCACACGCGCGTTTCCAAATAGATTGATAAATGGCCGCGCCGATAGTGATTTTATACCGTAGTGTAGGGCAGGCACTCTATACCTATAGTACCAATATTCCCAGCCTCGATTCTTGCGCCGGGCACACTTTGCCCATTTCCAGACAGCCCAGCGTAGCGCCGCCAGCTATAGCCAGCCAGCCATCACAGCCGCATGCCGAGCGAGAGAATCGCTTTTCTCGCTTTCCGGACTTCCATCCAGCGGACTTGACGCGGCAAATAGAGATGTAGCCTGACTGACTGTGTGCCTTTAACGATTTCGTGCAGTGCATAATTATTTGCCCCGAGCTCTGCGAGCTAGATTTATGACTGAGCGAATGAGGCTATAATGTTCAATACCCTTTGATACTCACCACTCAAATCAATGGTGATTTTTAGACTCAATTTTGTACTCGAGTAAACTCAGTAAACTCACTACATCAGAAAATGTTTTGTAAATTATTTGATGTCTGCTGAAGAGATTGTCCTGCAAGTAGGACACCCTGTATATCGCACGATCATTGGGCCTCACAGCGCCGATCACAGCGTCATCTCTGGGCATTCGATCGAATGCGCGAGGCCTTTGCACACGCACGCATCGATGTAGGATCATGATTTATAGAAGATTACGTGCTCCGCGGCTTGGCTCAACTTGGCTGTCGAGTCGATAGATGGCGAGGGCCACTGCGCGCCGCGGAGCAGCTGATACACACGCACGCACACACGTAAGCGAGGCACAACGCAACGCGGACAGAAAAAATAGGGTGGAGCATCGCAGCGACAGCGGGGTGGCGTCTCATCCCGAGTGATTGAGAGGAGGGTGGAGTCACGTGCTGCGCGCGCGAAGCCATAATGCACGCATGACGTCATACATGCGAGGCTCGAAACGCTGAGCCGAGCAGTCAGTCAAGCGCGCCGAAGATCATGGCCTCTATATCGCTCATGTAAATCAGCCGTATAATAGCTGTGTTTTAGAGTTTTTCGACGCGAGGTTCGACCATCGATCCGTATTAACGAGTGATACTTGTGTTAAAGGGCTTTCAATTTTCATATGAATCAGGAAAATTATCCTTGTTATCTAATGATTATGGGTCTTTTATTATAAATTTATTTTCGTTTTATATCTTTGATGATTGAAACTAATCTGAATTCGATCGAGCTATTAAAAAAATCTTTCTAGCATCAATCAATCGGAGCAAAATCGATATTCTGCAATGACCATTACCAGTGAAATGTATACAGCAAGAATAATGGAGTAACAACAATTAAAAAGCTCTCAATCTCGTGGCGTGCCGGCTGCTGAAAGGCCAGGAACGCAGGCGCATTACGCTCGACATTACATTTAAAGCTCGTAAATCTTGCAAAGTAACGGCAACCGAAGCAAGTCATGTTTTATTAATCCTAGAGGTTATATAGTTGTAACCGATCTCGAGTATAAAAATATATTGTCGAAGATTCCTCGTGTCTGTTTATAAATAAACTTGTGGCTGACAAGCCCATTCATCGACTTGATTAGAAAACTGAGACATAGAAGGCTGAATCATTTGTGCAAATTAAAGTGTGTGCTATTGCTTTTTGTCTTGAAAAAAAAATTCAAAGTCGTTTAGGATGAAACAATAATCGTGTGGAGAATGGTATGAATATTTTAAATTTACAATATTTGGACGAAATAGCGAAAAAACCTCGTACACCTAATAATGAAAGTAAATCCCATTAATCTCGTGTCGCAAGTATCATTATCACCTGCTCGGTCAATTAACGGTAAACATATACGGCCGAACGAGGCTCAATGAAGCGAACGCGTGACATAACTCCGATTAAATTCAAGAAGATGGGCAAAAAAAAGGAACGAGAAGGAGAAAGAGATCGAGGGAGCACGTATAAATACAAAAGTATTAAAAGCTCGCCGCTGTCGATACTCGCCCGAAATTCCAAAGTGCTACACACATATACCCGTGTGCTGATATTGTATTAGCATAATCGAAAACCAGTTTGTTGAGCGCGCCTTTGAGATATTATACTTGTATATATACGTAGGAGAGCAAGGACGCCGAGAGAAAAATAAGAAAAAGAAGTGGACGAATCGAAGGGATGGCGATGAGATGAGTTATACCCCCCCGACCCGTGCAACACGAGTCAGAATTCGCTCGTTGCAAAGCGAGCATGCATCTTCGAATCACGCGTGTATTATATTATATACGATTCGAATTAGCGGGGCTCCACTGTACGTGTAAATTATCGGGCCAGAGCAAAACTTGCCGTCGCTTGGGATTCTGCGAGCGTATTTTAATCTCTCTTGGTATACGTACGTTTTCATTTTTCGCTCCGCTTTAAATATCTTTGAAAATGACCCGAAAGTTATGTAATTTCTTTGCTTCGATGCGAATCTCGCGGTGCGTGACGATCTCTGAATGCATAGCTCATAAATTGCTTTGCCAACGATTAAGAAAATAGCTGAAAAATTAATCAAGCCCGTGCCGCGCGATAGCATAAATCAAGATGGCACG